CATTATCAGATTCAACATAATATTTAAATTGAACAAAAATGTAAATTTAGTTAGTACAAAAATACAATAATATATAATTATAAATCATTAAATTATATAATTAATTCAACATGAGGGATTTAATATGATTAATTTTGTAAGTCCTTTCTTCTGACATCCTAAAAATATAACAAAATATTACGTAAAATATAAATCTAATATGATAGAACAATTATCAATTAGAGTAATAAAGTATAAATTTACAGTTATCCAAAAACAACTATAAAATTTAAAACTTTGTATACAATCCATCTACTACAAAATTATGTACAATACTATTATAACTAATCTATACTGCCACATCATTTCCATCCAAAGTCTGCTTTGGAAAACATCATCTCCCTCTGCTCACACCCACAGGATGATCATTGCAAAGAAAGATAACACCACACATACAAAACACAATCACAAACAACAGGGTAAGCTAGATATAAAAAGATTTATACATTATTATAATTTACAGCACAATCAACTCATGCATATAGAACAACTATTTCAAACATCCTAAACATGTTATGACTTAGACTTGACTGTCTGGATTTAGAATGATTGTCGAGCTATGACAGGTTGTGCACTTGAGGCGACCTCTACTACTTTGCAAAGCTATTGCCAACGGGTTTCACCCTACCACACTCACAATGTTAGTTTGTTCCACGCCTTGGAGCATACTAGAAGCCCTTAAGACTAAGACCTCATACTACTCCTCACCACATGTGTCAATCCTCTCTACTTGAGAATGAAAGACCATTGGAGTTCAAGATAACCCCCAAGACTGGACTCCCTGCATTCATTATAAACATACTTGAATCTCACCAAGAGATTCCACTTTGGAACTTACTTACATAACTTTGAAACCATACTTGGAAACCACATACTTTCACTCTTGAATCTCAACATCTAATTATGATAATCATATACACGCATACATAATTATACATCATCCACAAGGAAACAAAGCATAATTATAATCAATTAAGAACAAAGAAGGAAAGAGTAAACTAACTTGGACCAGTCGCTCAACGACCACTCTCGCTAAGCGACCATAGGATTCTCTCGCTCAACAACCTGGCTCGTTGTGCTAATACACAAACAATGTTCCCAGACCTCGAACCCTTCGCTCAGCGACCCGCTAGCTGTGCGAATAAAACTCACAGTGGTCCTAGACCCTACACTCTCGCTCAGCGACCCTACTCGCTAGGCGAGAGTAGAGTCCACACCCCCAACTCACTCGCTCAGCGACCTATTTCGCTGGTCGAGACCTAAGACACTGGCAAAACCCCCCAACTCACCCGCTTAGCGACCCAAATTTGCTGGTTGAGACCTGAAACAGTGGCCCAGACCTCTAAACCACTCGCTCAGCGACCCTACTCTCTAGGCGAATACACAAATAGTGTACCAGACCTTACAACCACTCGTTGAGCGACTTCACTCGCTCAACGAGTCTGCATAATTCTGCAGCACCAAACTATAGAATTATGCAACCTGCACCAAAATGACCAAATGAAAAAAATTTTCCCAACTTATAATCCTCCTGGATCATGTTATATACTCAATTAAGTTTAACCAACTATGTCTAACCCATCCTAACCTCATTCTAAAGTGTTTACTAACCAAATTGAACTTCAAAATCTAACAAAACTCAACCTATAGACCCAAATTGCATTCTACCACTTTTTGACATAGTTTCAACCACTTTAGGGACTCTAACAAGTCCCAAATGATTTACCAAGATCATCATCACTGACCATTTGAGTGCCTAACTTCCAAAACAAAATTTCACTACTCCAATTCCTCAAAACTAGCTCTAAATAATGAGAAATTGCACCTACTCATAATCAACCGATCTTATAACAGATTTCTACCATCTTATACATTCAATAACAATCAAATCATCATACAATACACTGCATAATCACATTTCATCACCACATAATCAAAACGCACAATTAATTACTATACATCTACTCCTAAGGCAGAATTTCATCAACCAGTTCAAGATTTTTAAATTTTCTAACATACATAATTGATATCAAACAAAGCAAACTTCTAGCTTCCCTTACCTCAATCGAATCTGCACAGTTTTACAAAACACCAACAGTTGCTTACACCGCAAGAAAACTCTAGAAAACCTAAAAATCACCGATTGGTGAGGGAAAACCAATCTTATAACCTAAATTGAGCTAAGAATCAAGAAAGAGGAACTCTCTTCACATGCAATAAAAGATTATTTGCATGATAACACGTTAAAGGAAAACTAAGAAAAATAAACGAAACTTAATTGCTCTAATCACTAAACTAATTGGTCAGATAAATAGTCCTCAACTCAAGAATCGCCTAGATACCTCCTAATAATTAAATAGATAACTTATTAAGAAATTATAGAGAGAAGTAAAAAGAAACAAGAGAAGTTTTAAAAAGATAAAGAATGTTTTAAATAATGAGACAAACTTAGAAAATTCTATTTATATTATAAGATTATTTTATAATAAAATATTCAGTCTCATTAGTTTAATACACTTATCAACACTAATACTCCATTTTTTAGATTTTTACATTTTCCACTTGATTTTCCATTATGCAATTTACATTCAAAATAATGTATTCCAAAATTATATGGGTTATAAATTTTCAAAAACATTATTAAAATTTTAAAATTTCTAGAAAAATATACCCTTATATATCTTCCTTTACCATGCTAGACTGTATAACTTGAATAAAAAAACTTAATTAATTAATTACTTTAAAGTAAGACCA